GCGCACGTATACACACGCGCGCGCACGCACGCGCACACACACACACACACACACACACACACACACACACACACACACACACACCATGATGAGCACCAGCCGTAACGGTCTAGAAACATTGTCATTAAGAGAGTTGAGATGAGCTCTTTGAAACTCTGCCTTTGTCTGTTCCTTAGGAAACATACCAATCAGTGTACAACTGGCAGTACATCCACTGTCTCTACCTGTGGTGTCGTGTCCTCGGCACCCTGCACCCCAGTGACGTCCTTCACCCTCTCATCTATCCACTGTGCCAAGTTATCATTGGTACCATCAAGTAAGTACTTCAAGTTTATCGCAGGAATGTTGTCCAATGTTCTCCTTTTTCAGGAATGCAGCAAAAAAAAAAGTTGCTGTATGTTTCACTACCAGCAGGTGGCGACGATGATCACTGTGTTGTGTCCCTCAACAGGTTGGTCCCCACGGCAAGATATTATCCTCTGAGGATGCATTGTTGCAGAGCTCTCACACAACTATCAGGCAGCACCAATACATTTGTGCCGGTTCTTCCTTTCCTCATAGAGGTGAGATTCCATGCCACTGTAGTGCAGTATTTGTCCTCTTCAAATATATCTATGTGGCCAAAGTTGCCTACAGCTTCCACTGTTTTTTTTTTTTTGTTTGTTTGTTTTTTCGCCTAGTTTTTCTCCAGTGATCCTGAAATGTACTTTTTTTTAACACCTCAAAATAAGGCGCCAGAACGTCGTGATTTTGACCATTCAAGATAAACGTAGACAAGAAGGGCGAGTGCCTTTTGTTGAGGGGTGGTTCTCAGAAAATGTGGTCCAGGAATGCAATACGAGAGCCCAAAAATAAACTTGTTCAAAACCAGGTCACAATGATATATGCTTTAAATCAAACCTTTCTTCGGCGTGCTCTGAATAAATAAAGGTAGTTCACGCACCACTGTGTTCGCAAGAGATTGTTATATGTTGTGGTCCTCATTGTTTCTGACTGAAGTGCTTGGTACCTTTGCACCAAGCACTGACCACTCAAGTAAAAAAAAAAATAATAATTTCACTTGAAGAGCTTCATGAATTTCATACGAAGATATTCAGCTGACGAATTGTACATTGAAAATCAACTCTGAATGGTGAATATTTTTATCACAGTGGTTGTCATTTACGTAGCGTTACTTTGGCGGCACGGTAGATACCTTCTAATAATCAGTGTCCGCTTTGCAAAATACATCATGGCTGCAGCGGAATTTTGAGCCGTTACAATCCTGGTGACTTGGTCGGTTCCACGCTTGTATAGCTAGAGAACCCAATTTTCTGTAGGCTTTCAAAAATTAGTCAAAGTGGTCAAAAATGGCTGGCACCGGCGCTCCCGATTTGAGAACAACGGCTGGCGTTGAATGAGTTAATGTGGAAGACAACCAGTGGCGGGTGTCTGTCCTTAGGCGAGTGTGCTTGTGAGCAACAGGAAAGCTTTGTTGCCTTAAATCGTGCGTCACTAACTGACAACTTACTCACAGCGTCGGGTGTTGTGCGTGTGCTTGGTCTGAGGGAAGAGAGTGCTTTTTGCTGCCAGCAACGACTAAACTTCCCCCTATAGCAGTGGTCTTTGTGTGGGTTTGTGCGTGTAGCAGTTTGACAAAAGCGATAAAGTCGCGGTTATGGTTCACACTCTGGTCTCAGCCCACTGCGCAGACCACATCCTGTCTGCCTCTGCCCTACTCCGCACACCCCGTTCTTACCCGTACTTTCATGCAGAGGCCATGCCCCATTTAGCAAACGCTCCTCCTTCTCCCCCCAACTACATCCCCGACATCAAAACCATTTGTGATGCCCATTTTTTCGTCTGCTTTTACTCAGTTATGCTTCCTTTTGTTCAAGGTAAGCTGAGGTGCACTGCTACTGATTTAATTAGGGCAGCAGTGGCAGAACCCCCACACCCCAACCCCCGCCACCCCCGCCCCGTCCTCTGCTGTGTCTGTATGCGTTCTTGCCTCTCCATGGGGGTGTATAAGTTGAAGCTTTCGCATCAGCAGTGTGTGCGCGCTGCCGTGTGTGTGCATGTATGCATGCATGCATCAGGGTTGGTCCATGCTGTCCCACTTCCCTGTGCCCCCCCCCCTCCCTTCAGACCGCCACCACATCCTCTGTTTATCGAGACAGCAGCGGCCAGCGACGCCGTTCTGCTTCGCACACACTGAGCACATTAACGACCACACAGGCGCACAGAACCACACAATGATAAGCGGGTGTCAGAAATAGCTTCAAACACGTACACAGCACATTTTCACGTGCGCGCCATGAGCAGAACGCGAAAGCATGTGGACGAAAAGTCGATGCGCTGCCTGGAATGTTCTCTCACTGCCGAAGAATGTGCTGCATGACCGTGGCGTAAAGTCGGGAAATGAATGTTAGGCTGTACTCAACCAGCGGGATATTTTAGTCTCTATTGTTCTGTATTCGTAAACACATTAAACCGATCATGGTTTTGACGATTTCATCAACTTTTTTATCTCCATTCTTTTTTTTTTTTTTTTTTTTTTTTTTTTCTTATCTTATCCATCCATCAATCTGCTCTACCACTTATCGTCGTTGCAGTCTTGCAGGTGTGCTGAAACCTATACCAGCTGCCATCTGGCGGGAGTGATAGCCAGTCGATTGCAGAACACATATAGACAAAAACACTTACATTCATGCCAAAGAACGATTCTGTCTTGTTTTTGGAATGTGGGAGGAAACGGAGGACTTGCAGAAAAACCTATCCAAACCACACCCCGGAAAACTGGTGCCCAGATTCGTACCTAAGACATCGGAACTGTGAAGTGGCTCTGCTAACTACTTGCTCACTGTACACCCTCGATTTAATGTAGGTTGATGCTGAAAGTATCATATCCAAACTGTTGTTAAATTATTACCTCTTTTTGTATTCTACAATTTGAATCTCGTAAAAAAATGTTCACTTTATTCTTGTCATAGTAAAACTTGATTGTTTTATTTATAACGTCAGTCCACCGCTTCCAGCTTTGCTTGGAGGTGGGTCACATTGCAGCGTGTGAGTACCCTTTCAAACCAAATAATATTTAACATTTTGAAACCAGTAGACTAGTACAGTATTTCATATTTTGAAAACAGTGGTATCCATTGAAGTACACTCTTCTATACAGATGTCTACTCTATGAAACCATAGTTCTCTATTTTTCATATTTGGAACGCTTCCACCCGTGCTTGGCCTTGTAATACAATACCGTGTTTCCACCAAGCGATATGCACTTCACTTGATTTTTCCATAATATAGTTTGTAACTTTGTTCTGGCTTGCATTTGCCACCAACAGGCCCTGTTGGTGGGATGGCCATCAATTTATAAGTTGTGTAAATAACGTGACATCATAGCGGCAACAATGGCGGACATGCTGTGTTTTGTTGTTTCTTTCTGGAATGTAGCCATTGGACAATTTCTGGTCTGGCTCCACACTTTGTGTCAGATCACTAGCCCCTTTGAAATTGCAGTTAAAACCGGCAGTTTTTCTGGTGTCGCAGTTCTGTTTAAATGGCATCAACGTTGAATCGGGGAGCAAAGTTGACCCTGCCATTTTTCGCCTTCAAGGGGAGTGTCATGGTCGCAAGTGGCGGGACGGACGACTTGTCCTCCTGTGTCACTGGTTATATTTGGCCATGCTGTTGTTGTTGTTGTTGTTGTTGTTGTTGAACAGATACGTGTTGGGTAGAAGTAGAGTTGACATGGAGAAAGGAAAAAAACACAAAACGTTTGCCTAGCTGTGATCCGGGACTCTCGTTTTGCCCGACACCACGTAAAGGTGGTCACCAAAGTCGGGCTGCAGCTGCTGTTCTTTAACTATGTAGCTCAAAGCTCAGTCTTAAGTGGTGCCCGAGTAAAATGCCACAGTAAACGCTGCTTGACACTGACCTCCCAACAACGTTATGATTGGATTACATCACATGAAAGGTGCCTCTTTCCCCACTCCTCAGGGCGAACACAACAATTGCAGTCTAAACAAAAATCAACTTATTTAAGCTTAGACAGTAAAAAGCTCAACTCAACTAAACCAGAAATAATGAAAATCCAACCCAGGTCTCTCCCGAACATGAACAGGAGAAAAAATTGAAAACGAAATTCCAGCCCACCCCTAAAGCAACCCGGATGGCATTTTTAAAAATTTTTAGATAATTGTGGCATTTGAACAGTTGAGTAAACTGGTAGACAATTAGAACGATCCGAACGTCCACGGTGGCATTCTTGTCCACAATGACATTGAAGCTACCGGCTCACAATTCCTGTTCCTGCTTTCCTTCACAGATCTTTCAGCAGGTGGACTTTAACAAGAAACCAGGACGGATGAGTAAGAGGCCCATCAACTTTGCCGTCATCCTGAAGCTGAACAAAGTCAACCTGATGGAGAAAGCTTACAAGGTAACGCTTTGAAAAAAGGCTCTGTGAACATCACAATCAACAATAACAGCATCTTTTAAATAGAGGAGGGGTAGGGAACCCCACTTCCTCGAGAGCCATATCCTGCCTGTTTTCGGGCTCTCCTTACTCCAACACACCTGATTCAATTGGTCCTGATCGTTTCAGGCTTCTACAGAGCTTGCTGCCGAGCTGATCATTTGAATCAAGTAGGGAAAGCAGACCAGACATGGCTCTTGAGGAACCAAAGTTTCCCACCCCTGAAATAGAGGAAACTCAGAAAAAAATCCTGCTGAATATGTAAAGTGTTCATTTGTCTATGAATTTTAAGTACGGATTTGTGGTGTTTAGGACACTTCCAATTTTATTTGAGTCATTGAAAAAAAAAGTTCATTTTTGATGTGTAACATTCAAACCCGTGTCATACTGAGCGGCACAAAGAAATTTTGATCATCTTATACTGTCTTTGGGACCGTTAAAACTGTTCGCGAACATCTGACGAACGTCTTTGCAACGTTGGACGAACGCTGACAAAAAAAGTGTTCGGGCCGTGCGCTAACACTCACAAACCTTCGCTGCTGAGTGAGATACGGGCTGTAAGAAGATTGATCTCAAATGCAAACCGTTGTACATGCACAGTATAAGATAGGTTGTCACATTGGTGTAAACTGAAGGGCACAGATGGCCACAGTTGGACATGCGCATCTGATTTTTGTTGCACGGAGAAAGAGCAGCTGATCCTGATGAGTCATTCAGGCCTTGGCTAAAGTTGCTTTCATGTTACACATCTGACACTGTGTGCCGAGTCTGTGTGTGCGTGTGTTTGCGCACATCACGGGATTGAGCACTCAAAGCCCTCCTTCCAGGCCTCTAAATCTGCCCCAAAAGGCACCACCACACTTAGTGCTGCAGCCAAGAGGAGTGCAGCACGGGCGTCTGGGATTATTCCCCCATTGTTTGTCATGGTCACCTGACGCACAAACTCATGATCTGTCGTCTCTTCCTGAATGTTTAGACATAAACCCAGACCATGCCTCTTAACGAATGTCGGTTGCATCTTGGTAAAATAGGTTGTTTTCAATGAAAAGGAAAAAAAAATGTTGAATTTGTGATATGAAAAACGCTCTGTCTTGACGTCAAAAATGACTTCCTTTTGGAGGTTTCCTCGATGGCCATTTACGTGCCTATTTCCGTATTTTCTGCACTATAAGGGGCTTCGGAGTGTAAGGCGCACCTTCAATGAATGGCACATTTTAAAACTGTTTTCATATATAGGACGCACTGCATTATAAGGCACATAGAATAGAAGCTACAATAGGGGCTGTAGTTGAGGTATGCATCCACGAGATGGAGCTATGCTAAAGGGAATACAATATAATATGATCCAGCTTTATTTATATAGAGCCTTCTCAACCGCTGCAGCTGTAACAATGAAAACTGGTCACAGACATAAAACATAAATACAAATGGCATTACAAAACAATGAAAGACAAAAGTTATGAAGACAATTGCTTCAACAAAAAGGCACACAAACCTCGTGGGCTCACATCCACAAGAGGCTAAATATCCTTAGACGACTTGCTTTTTTCTTTCGTTTCGTCAGTAGTTTACTAGTCTTTTGGTATTATCTTCGTTTCAAAATGGCTGCGCGGAGCTCACAAAGTATTTGTCTCTTTTAGTGTGTGTTGGCAAATGCTCATGTCAGTTAGTGTCAGGCAAAAGAACCCTTTTGGTTACAATTGGTTCCTGCTAATAATCACCACTAGATAGCATCGGAACACGACCAAGGAAACAACTCAATGGGGAATATAAAGAGACTACACCATTTATAAGGCACATCGGATTATAGGGCGCACTGTCAGCTTTTGGGAAAATTGAATGCTTTTAGGTGCGCCTTATAGTACGGAAAACACGGTTTGATTATTTCGTGTGGAAACGACATGCACGATACAGAGGCACATATGTTGTATGAAACTGTTTTTTTTTTTCTTTGTTTGGTTTTACCCTGCCGTAGGATGGATTGATTGACCAGCTCTATGACTTGATGCTGGAATATTTCCACACTCAGGCCAGCTCCATCGGCTTCCCGGAGCTCGCTCTGCCCACCGTCCTTCAGGTAATGCACACTAATCGCTGCTGTGGTCGTCACCAAGTCTCCGTAACCTCTGCTGAGATGTTGAACTCCGTTCAAGGAAATGTGCACTTTTCGTGTTGGAAGAACATGGCAAATGTTCAGCTATTGAAGGGATTTTTCCAAAACAATGGTGACTAATTTGATTACCTCAGTAGGATGACTTTGTTGCCTTGCTTTTTTCCGTGCCGCTGTTTTGTCGAGTAGACCACACAAGCACAAAATCAGCACTTTTCGACCTCCTGTGTGTGATGGTATTTCACAATGCAAGAAGCGGGTGTTAAGTTTTAACGCAAGATGCGCACGCGCACAAACTACAGATAGCAACGACACTTTTATCTGTTCATCCATTGGGATTCATGAGAAAAAAAGTAAGATGTCTTTTGGGTTACACCTTGTCAGTCGTAGACACATCAATTTTATTTTTATTTCAAAAAACTAATAATCATGCCCCGGTGCTGCCTATCATTAAAAAAAAATGGATCCAGCAAGTCGTGTCCAAGTGCTGTTTTTCCTCACCACCCCCAACAAAAACCCTTTTCCCTCTTCCAGCTGAAAGTGTTCCTGAAAGAATGCAAAGTGGCCAATTACTGCAAGCCAGTGCGCCAGCTTCTTGAGAAGGTGCGAGAGAACAGCAACCACATCACAGCAAAACGACAAAACGCCACCTTCGGAGTGGCCGATTCTAGCGCTGTGGTGAGTGGAGACCAGTGGCATCTAAAAAATATTCCATTTTACTTATTATTGGTGGTGTTTTGCTTTATTGTGATTGCTTTCATATTAGATGTTCTTCGAAACATATTTCAAGACAGCTTTTTAACATTGTGTGTTTTTTAAAGTATCGGCGTGGGTGAACATCAGCCCATTATATTGACATATTATAATGCATATCTTATTACCAGAATCCACCCAGAATGATTGAAAGAGCCAGAATACCGTGGAATCTTCCAGTTTGACCAGAATCCATCATGACTGCAATATGATCAACTTTTAAACCAAAATTACCCATTGAGATGAACAATATTTCGTGATTTGTTTTCAGAGCTGATCCTATCAGCATCATGAAACCTTTATTAACTACAAGGAATTTAGTATTAGTCTAGCATTAATTTAAAGTAACTGTGAAGTATTAATCAAATGAAGGGCAACCTCCATCTGATTATGAGAAAGAAAAAAAACTGAACATATGCAAAGAGGTCAACCAGTAAGGTCGTGTGATATAGAACGTGAAATCCACTGAACTCCGTCTCTTTTGATCATAAGTTATACGGCGGCTAGCGCCAAATGTTTGTCAAAATCACAAACTCAAATGGGCAATGTCAGTCTCAGAAGATCCAAAGCAAAATCCTTAGTTCACAAAAAGCTCTGAGGCCAGTCGAGACAGTGGCAGATTAACAAACAAAAACAAACAAACAAAAAGAAAAGACGACGAATCCGACTAAAAACAAAAACACGACGAAAGAGAAGCATCACTTCGGTTCAGACATCCGTGGATCATTTCCTGACTAACATGACGATGAAACACAATCTTGCGCTCGATCCTTTAATACTGAAATAAATGAGGTCCTGTGGGGTCCGCAGGCAGCTTGTGTAATATGCAGATGTCACACGTGGTTTGAATTCCAAAAAATGTTGTGGTTATAACTTAGGAGCACATTTTTTTTTTCCACCATCATTTTGGTTGAACTCAACAAATTCCAAACATTTGGGTGGTTCAAACAAAGAAATAGCTGGACACGTTTCTTCTCCCACTTGTGAAGTCTCGTTGAGGCACAATTTTGCTTTGAAGGGATGTACCGTACGTATGAATGCACAAAAGTTTCGTAGGAGCTTGCTGATTGCTCGCAACAGGTGCCGCAAAGAAGTCGTTCTTTTAGCACTTTGAGCTCAGTGTTCAGATGCGTCACATCGGGCCTGTCAAGGGTACGCATTGTGATGCAATCTTCAGAGGATAACCTGGATAAGAGAAGTAAGCCTTCTGGTTTTCCAGGATATCTGATTCAAGATTCACGATGGGATAAGAGGTCACATCATTCCATTATTGTCCCTCAGTTTGCCATCAATCGCAGTGCCAGATTTCTGACAGCGTTACGCAAATTCCACGACTGCATTATTTTTTGCATGTCAGAAATCATCAGCGGCGTCAAAAATAGTCACCAAGCGACGGTCTCAGTGTTTATAAGTAGACGAGGCAATAAGATGTGCAAACGCATCAGTGTGCTAAATGAACGGACAACTTGGCTCCTGCAGCGGTCTCAACGCCGCCGCCGCCACTGCTGTCTCATTGGATGCTGTCACCGTGGCATCCACTTCCTGTCAACAGAGCAGTGGTGGAGGTGTCCCTGCAGGCACGGGAAAGGGGACGTCACCCCGTCGCCGCTGCTGCTGCTGCTGTGCAAAAGGCCACGGCCCCCTTCTGGCCACCAGCCCCCTCTGCTGCTATGCCACTCGAGCTCGGCCGAGAGCCAACATAATTAATGATTCAAGACTGTTGTCTCTATTATGGTGTTTTATTTGTTAGTAACAGAGATAAATACGGAACTTGGGTTTCTGTCGACAACCGTTATGCACACCATTAGTGAATTTAAGATGTTGAGTTACTCGACTATTTAATCCGTCCATCCATTTTCTGACCCGCATATCCTCAAAAAAGTCGCAGGGCGTGCTGGAGCCTATCCCAGCTGTCTTCAGGCAGTAGGCGGGGGACACCCTGAATTGGTTGCCAGCCAATCGCAGGGCACACACAGACGAACAACCATCCACGCTCACACTCACAGCTAAGGATAACTTAGAGTGTTCCATTAACCTGCCACGAATGTTTTTGGAACGCGGGAGGAAACCGGAGTACCCGGAGAAAATCCACGCAGGCACGGGGAGAACATGCAAACTCCGCACAGGAAGGCTGCAGCCAGCATCGAACCCTGCACCTCTCCGCTGTGAGGCCGACGAGCTAACCAGTCGACCACCGGCCTGCCTGTACTATTTTAATTAATTGTTTTTTTTTTTGTTTTATTATTACAAATCTTCACAAACTACGAACTGTAAAACTCCTATTTTATTTCCCAATTTTCACTGCACTGCTTAATCAGTCAAAAACAAAGGATCCGCATGTGCACGTTGCCTTTTTCCTTTCCATAAAAGGACAGCTGAGATATGAGAAGAAATGTATTGAGGGGAAAAAATGTTCGAAGGAAGTTATCGTGAAGAAGCAGGCTTAACTTTTTAGCAGAATGGACTCCAGTGGTGTCCAAGTACTTTTGTCTGACGTTAGCGAGAGTCGGAAATGATCACATGCAGCCATCTGAAAGACTAAAGCAGAAGTGTTGTTTGTTTGTGATTTTTTTTAGCGATATTTAGTCTTTTTTTCTTCTTTTTTTTTTTTTTTTTTTTTGGTTGTCTGTTTGTTAATTGCCCTTTAAGACTTTGACGATATCTTACTGTCACGACAAACTTCTTTTGTGGGGTACGTTACAAACGAAGTTGTAGATTGATAACACGAGCTTCTTAAGCTAGCTGCCAACTAGCCAACACAGTGTGTAGTATTTTAACATTTTCATACAGTATGAGAGATTGTGTTTCGCTTTAAACTTGAGTGGCGTGTTAGATTATTCGCCATTGAAGATATTCTTCCTAATATACAAGATCTCAGTGGGAAATTTGGGTTTGGAAAGTTCATCAAATCGAAGTTCGACAAGTGTCATAGCGCCGATCGTCGTCTAATTTTGAAGTTCCCTTCTATCTCGAATGCCTCTGTGCTCTTTGTTGACTTCTTCTGTAAAGTAAATGGAGATGAGCTGTTTTGATCTTCCGCTCTCCTCAGGCGGCATGGGAGAAGGAGACCGCGAAGGAGGGAACTCCTCTAAGCAGATACTACATCCAATGGAAGAAGTTGAGGGAGAAGGAAATTCTATTGGAGATCTCTGGCAAAGAAAGGGTAAATATCCAACACAGCACAAACTTTTTTTTTTCCCCACACATCGCAAAAATCATTTCAGGCTTTTTTTTTAAACCACATGACTGGCAATCTTGCCCAGTGTTAATCTTATAAAGTAAGAAACATTCTTTCTATTCTATGACTAAAATGCAAAAAAAAAAAAGGCACTAACACTGTTTTCTGCTTTGTCAAGATGGAAGATCTGAATTTGCCAGAGATTAAGCGTAAGAAGATTCAGGAGAAGAAAGCAGAGGACAAAAAGGAGTTCAAGGGCTTGTTTGAAAGCGACTCCGAGGATGATGATGACGATACAGGACTCAAAATTAAAGGTGAGGGCGGCAGTCATGTAGAAATATAGCTTGGCCGGTGTCGGGAAAAGGAAGGCCTCCCTCAAAAGTCACACAAAAAGTTGAAGGTGGAAGCTTGGTTGGCACGTGAATAACTCTGCATTTGTTTTGCCTTTTTTTTTTTTTTCTTTTTGCTATAATTGTAAAAAGTGTCGTCCAACTGCTATACACATTCTCACTGGTTGTCGAAGCGTTTGATTGATTTAACGTTTTACTCATATTTGGGAGGGTTACTTTAACAAATTATGTGTATGTTTGTGTACATCAAAATATATTGAAAATGGAAACATGACCATAAATCTTAAGATGATTGTGATTAGTGGTGTCAAAATGTATTGATGAATTCATTTTCTCAAATAATTGATTATCACACGATTCAACAGCTCTCGTTTAGAGCCATTGATTAACTTAAAATTATCCAAACCTCTAATGTTTAATCACTAAACAATACCAAATAAACAATAATTGGCTAACAGTAATTGGCGGTGGGAAGGTTTCTAATACACCTTAATCCACAAGATAATTTTATCTGATTTTTTGATTGACTGATGGACTAATTGATACAATAATCTAGTATTTGATGGTGACAGTCCGAAATAATGCAAAATGATGAATGGATGCGTCAAGCAATGTCCCACAACGGATTGCATTCAACCTGCGAGGTCCACCTGTATGGCCAAGCAAAAAGAAAGGATAAATTACCCACGTTGGCCTCTGGGGGGAGGTGTTTTGCTATATTTTGATTCATACAGAGTATAATTTCCAAAGGTGATGTCAGCTAAAGTCTGCTTGTTGCCATAGAGGTTTTCTTTTATTTAGTTTTTTTTTTTGTTTTACTTTCAAGCAATGTCCCACAACGGATTGCATTCAACCTGCAAGGTCCACCTGTATGGCCAAGCAAAAAGAGAAGATAAATTACCCATGTTGGCCTCTGGGGGGCGGTGTTTTGCTATATTTTGATTCATACAGAGTATAATTTCCAAAGGTGATGTCAGCTAAAGTCTGCTTGTTGCCATAGAGGTTTTCTTTTATTTAGTTTTTTTGTTTTACTTCAGTATTATGTAAAGTAAATCAACCTGTAAACGTCCACCTTAGATTGGAGGAGAAAAAAAAATATCTTTTTGTGTCCTGAGCTCCCGTTGCTGTTTTGTACCTCGTCCTTTTGGAGCAATTGTCCACGGGCTTCACCTCGAAACACATCCACAGAAGTTGGGACGGGAAAAGGGGCTGGTTTTTCGAGGTCACTGTGAAAAAGAAGAGTCGGCAGCAGAGGTTTTTTTTTTCCCCCCCTTTAATGCATCTGGACTTAATTGTCGGGAGAGTCCCCGCAAACGCACGTGCAGCCGCCGTCCTTTTGGAGCAATTATCCACGGGCTTCACCTCGAAACACATCCACAGAAGTTGGGGCGGGAAAAGGGGTTGGTTTTTCGAGGTCACTGAGAAAAAGAAGAGTCGGCGGCAGAGGTTTTTTTTCCCCCCTTTAATGCATCTGGACTTGATTGTCGGGAGAGTCCCCGCAAACGCACATGCAGCCGTCCCCCTCCGTGCCTCCCACCCTCCCTTTGGTTGCTCTTTTCCTCCGCCCAGTACAAACACAAACTGACCTCCGTCGACAGGAAGTACGGGCTCGGCTCCCCTGCGGGAGTTCCTAATTCAAACCAGACCAGTGGAACAGCCAGAGGTGGCGGCTTCCTCTCTTGCTTTCATTGGCGCGCACACGCGCAGATGACAGCACACGAATACAAACCTCGTTGTCCAGTCTTGAGTCTTCAGAAGCTTCTTTGTTGACGCGGCCAGCCCTGGAACTTGCAGGAGAGGCTAATGATGTGGTGTATGTATGTGGTGCTTTGGCGTAGGGAAAAGGGAGGGTGGGGGAGGGCTTGGAAGTCCTCCGGGTCATTTGGGGGAAACTTTAAAGGTAGCAATAATGGAGCAGTGAGAAAATCAGAGTGAGTAGCACTATGCCATTGATTTTAGATGGCGAGAGAAGTGCCTGATATTTTTCTCCGTGTTTGTGTCTGCATTTAGTGTGTGTGTGTGTGTGTGTGTGTGTGTGTGTGTGTGGGTGTGTGTGTGCGTGCGAACAGTGTAGCAGACGTGAGGAACCGCTCCATCGTGTGTGTGTGTGTGTGTGCGTCTCAGCTACTCCCTCATCACACCTCAACTTCAAAGCCTGTGAACCCCCGTTGTCCCTTTGGCTATTTCACACACACACGGATGCACACAGAACCTCCATCATAAGTGTTGCTACGAAACCTGCCAGCATTTGCTATATATAGGCCGTGAGCCGAAGATGTCTGAAATTGCCAGTAGTAAACTGTCACGGGTGTTTGTGCAGTACAGGCGGCAGTGGCTGTAATCGACTTTGGGTTCCATCTCTGGGAGGAGTGGGGGAAGCACACACGCAAGCACGCAGAAACGCTTTGCAGCTGCCTCTGATGCTTGGCCCACATCGAGGTGTCTCCAAAGAACGTCAGCCGTGTAGCAACGCAAACTTGAGAAAAGTCATTTGGGGGGGAGAACTTGGTTTGTATCTGCTTGTAATGTTCTGTCTTTGCCGCTGTCTCTATCTGTGTCTAGATAAAAAAGGCAGCCATGATGACGACGACGATGATGATGATGATGACGACGACGAAGATCTTGAAGGACTGTCTGACATGAGTGACGGAGACTCAGGTGGGTGTGAAATGAGGAGCACAGTTTGTATTATTTGTATCTTTGCCCCTTTTTGTGCCGCACTCACTGCAGCCATGACCAGTCAGATCGTAGCCTTTGTGATTCGAAAAGTCACATTTTATCCAATCACAATTATGTTGGAATGTAATTAACCGTTTTGCCCTATCATGTTGTTATACCCCGGAATGCAACTGATATTTTTAACACAGCAGTACTCACAGCCCAAGGTTCAAAATAACCACCCCCTCCGCACACACGCACATAAAAGTTTTCTGCTGAAATTTGCCATAGTTGCTGTATAGTAACACTATACGCATTTTAAAACGAAACAATATTTTTATACAAGCTTGGGTCACGCACTTACCGGGTTAAGTGTCACTCAAGGGTGTTGAAGCTGCTCGGACGGCCCGTTGGCTGTGGATGTAAGAATTTATTTAAAAAAAAAAAACCATTATATGCTTGTAATATTTTAACTGTTTTTTTTGTCATATTTGTACTTTTTTGGTTAAAATATTGTAATATATTTACAGTAGTTTTGTGGTGTAAAAATATTTTTAGACTTTTTCTGGTAAATTTTAAACATATATATGTGTGTGTGTGTGTGTATGTGTGTATATAAAACTGCCGTTTTTTCTTGCGTTGTTTCTTGTAATATTTTTCTCATATTTATTTTTTCCACGTATTATAAATAATATCCCTTGTAAAAGTAGGTCTTTGATTTCCAATTACAGCCGCGTGGCAGTCAAATGAACCATTTTCTCATTTCTTTTTTTGGGGACACGTTGCAAAAATATTTTCCATAATTATCTGGAACCCAACTTCCAAGATTTCCGCAGATAAGACAATTAATTGGCTGACTCTATTTTCTAAAATCAATCCAGTTCAGGGTGTTAGAAAAGCAAGACAAAAATCGCCTAGCTGCCAAACTGTTTTCGTCATATCCAAACCGTAAACTCACATTTCTTTCCGTGCTCCATTGTAGATGAGGAAGAGGAGGACAAAGAGGATGAAAAGGTGTCAAAGGCCCCTCAGCCACTATCGTCCTCTGCTCTCATCAAGCTGGCCGAAGGAGACGAAGATGTGGTGGAGGACCTGGAGCTGTCTGACGACGACTGAGAGGCTCATTGCGCAAAGCCACTTCACCGTTTAATAAGATGTCTTTTGCTTTTGACAGTTGAATTGACTTCTCTGTACAGTACAAATCCATTGTCATGTCCTTTTATAAACCATAAACCCGCTTAAACAATCCCAGTTTTGCCTTGTTTAATATGGAAGCGTAAACCACTTTTGGAACCCCCTAACCCTGTCTTCAAACCCAAATCTGATACCCAGGCTTTGTCTTGGAACCCGAACATTTGATGCTCCACTTGCCTTTTTTTTGTATGCAAGTATGCAAATTTTGAGCAATACTGTAGTGCGCTTGCATGTCCATGTTGCACACCTCCGGGCTCCCTCAGGCCAGCGTGTAGGGAGGGAGAAAGGGTGGGGTGATTTGTGGTGGTGGGGGAGGTGGGGAGGGCTAGACTAGGCAGGAGGTGGGCGTCAAGGCCCGAGGCAGCGGAGGCGTGCCGGCCTGGCGGGGTGGCGTCTGATGCCGTGCCAAGAAGCCGGGCCCAGGTGGGAGAGCGGCAACACAGGCTGCTGTGTTTCTCTGCCAAGTTCTCGCTGGGCCCGCTGTCTTCCTGCCTGCGTGCTCGCCGCTCGGCTTCCCTCGTCCAAACACCGAGCCTGGAAAAAAAAAAGGTTTTTCCTCGGTGTTGCCTGAACACAACACCAATGCTTAGCAGTCATTATTGTGCAATGCGTAACCCTGCTGGTAGTTTTTGAAAGCAAAAAGAAAATACCTCATGAACCTGATGTGCTTGGGGGGGAAAAAAAATAGTACCGGGAAAGATTTTTTGGGGGGAATCAGCCTAAAAAATATGTTTCGGAACACATAAAGCCATCTCGACTTAAAATTAGCTTCTGACTAGTTTTATTTTTTTTACTATAAATCTATCTAAGCCAGCGACATGATGGGCAGAAAAATTTACAGGTCCATTATAAAGCAGAATCAACCTGAGTGTGTACTTGTTGAACGATCCATCCATCCATTTTCTGTTCCGCTTATCCTCACAAGGGTCGCGGGCGGGGGGTGCTGGAGCCTATCCCAGCTGTCTTCGGGCGGTAGGCGGGGGGACACCCTGAATAGGTTGCCAGCCAATCGCAGTGCACACACAGACGAACTACCATCTACGCTCACACTCATACCTAGGGACAATTAAGAGTGTTCAATCAGCCTGCCATACATGTTTCTGGAATGTGGGAGGAAACCACAGTACCCGGAGAAAACCCACCCAGGCCCGGGGAGAACATGCAAACTCCACACAGGGAGGCCAGAGCTGGAATTGCACCCACAACCTCTGCACTGTGAGGTCAATGCGCTAACCACTGTACACCGGGCCACCCCTTGTTGAACTAAACAGGCTATTATTGTATCTTTGTTACAGTTTTGCTGCATTTATACTTTTTTTTGGGACATTTTTGATTTTTTTCCAAAGTAAATGATGTGCCTCGCCTCAGTTGGGAAACACTGCTTTACTTTGCTATTGTAACTCCAACTTGAAAACCCCCCAACCCTTGTTGTTTGAAAACCTTACTTGAACCCATCGTAGACACGCAGAAGGTGCAGAAGGAAAACGACAATGACGAAGATAATCACCACACGAGACAAAGGCACCATTTCTTTATGATTTATTTCACCCGTGCGGTGAATAGAAAAATAGGATGAAGACAAAACCTTTAAAGGGACCATTTGAATCAATTGCTTGCGTGGATTGAAAAAAAAAAAAAGTATTAAGAGCTCTGTGCCTTTCTTTGCCCTGCAACCAAAAGTAGAAGTATCTTTGGAATCCGTCTCAGGGGTTAATTATAATACATATAATTTGCTTTATTTACTAAGTCCTATAAATACTTTGTCCTCGTTTATATGCTACAGTAGCATTCAGGATTGGAGCGCCTTTTAATATTAGTTTTAAAAAAAATGTCCAACAAAAAGGAGAGGAAAATATATGAACAAAAGTACCACAAAAGTCCAGCGAGTCACATTATTTCTTTCTTTTTTTTCTTTTCTTTTTTTTTTTTTTTTTTTAAGTCAAGAAAACTTTTTTTTTCCTTTCGTGCATCTACATTTAGCAAAAAAATTGAAAGTACCACGTATGCAACCTTCGGGATATTTTCATTTCAAGCATGACTCTGTACAATTTTGCATGATTCGTCATTCTTCTTCTTCTTCTTCTCATTATTATTATTTCAAACTCTCCCAACAGTAGTCAACACAAGTGTCCAAACGGTGTGAGCTATTGTTTCCAGCAACACGCGTGTTGTTGTACCAAGACTATTCGGACCACACTGAAAAGAAAACAAAAAAATCAAATGAAGAGATACAGACCTGCCATATATTTTGCAGAAGGAAATATTATCTATTTGATCAAATACAGGTCTATGTGTATTTCTTGGCATTTTTCTTCCTGGAATAGGCAGATCTTTTTTTTCTTTTTGGACTTAAGTCATATAATGTTTGAATTTATTGCTTCTCATTACTTCATTGAAAAGTTTGGTGTTATTTGGACGATTCTCGTCACTTCAATGGCATAACAGTTGACTTCTTGCTTGTTATTCTTGTGACATTTGACCTTCGTAATAATCTATTATTGGTCATGATAACTTTTTTCTTGTAATCCATCCATCCGTTTTTGATCATTTTTATCCCGCTCAAGGTCAACGGGGATCTGGAACGATTTTGGGGTAGACTACACCCAGGGCTACTTTTTCTCGTCCATTTTTTTTTTTCTTGCAACATGAAAAGGACCCAAATTCAGAGCGACCTCTCATGAATATAGGATTTAATTTTTTTGTTTTTTTTTTTGCGAATGACAAATTGGGATTTGTGATTCCTGTCAGTGCGGTCCGAATACAGTCCTTTCTCAATACCATCGAGTGCTTCATGTTGAGGCACTCGCATTATTCCCCACTCTCTCTTTCTCTCTGTCTGACAGCCTTCATGCAAACAGAAGCAGAAACATGGTTTCAATTCCACTCATCCGGTCATCTTTGGTATCGGGACAGTGGAATGCATAGTTGCTGTGAAGACGGAGCTCGTTTTAGCGTGGCGCCGCTCCAGCCTCGGAGATGAGGACGACGACGAGGACGACAGCTTCCCCGAAGCTGGAGTAGGAGGAGGAGGAGGACGGGGGGACGGGAGATGAGTCTTATTCCTGGATTGTGCGGGGCTTGCAGTGGACAAGTACAGAAAAGAAGGTGGAAAAAGAAATCCAGCACAGGAAGGAAGGAAGGAAGGAAGGAAGGAAGGAAGGAAGGAAGGAAGGAAGGAAGGAAGGAAGGAAGGAAGGAAGGGACGAAGGAAGGACAGACGGCTTTCCGCTGGCGTTGGCTTGTCTGACTTGCAAGAATGTGGCGTTAGTGGCCTCTTTTTGGCATGCTGTCTGTGACCAGCTGTCTCTTTTTTTGCGCCTCGTGCGTCTCCCGAGCCACTTTCTTTGGATTCGGCTCAGACACAACCACGGGCCAGGAACTCAGTCCGTGTCGTCCTCCACGTTGCCTTTTTTTTTCCCCCCCTTTCCCGTCCATTTCTGTTTTAAGGCCTGGAAGTTCAAGCGAACCCTGTGAGGAGGGAGCCCTTATCTTCCCACCGCCGTGGAGCCGTTGGTCTTCTCCTGCTTGGGTGAGGAGCAGCCCGGGGTGGGCCCACTGAAAGGAGAAGAGCTTCCGCTTGTGGAGGCGGGTCTCTGGAGTAGGGAGAGGGGCAAGGAGGGGGTGTCGGCGGGCACCCCCGGGGCCTCCCCGTCCCGCTCCGAAGGGCGCAGGGCGGCCGACGGCGGGAACGGGAAGGCCAGCGGGAATCCAGTCATGTAGAAAAGTCTGCCGATGCGCCGCGCCACCTGAGCCGATGAGAGGAGGAAACAGGACTCAGCAATGGCAGAGACATGCTGCTTACACTTTGAGTTCAGACACAAAGAGAGAGAGAGAGAAAGAGAGAGAGAAGGCTTGTTTTTCAGGGCAGGCTACATGTGGGGAGTCTACGCTACGCTGGCTGACTTTCTCGGGTCTACTGTCTGGCACACAAGGACACACGCACAGCTGCAGTGTGTGTACCTGCGAGCGAATCCTGAGGGCAGGGCCCAACTTTAGTGCCATGATGCCAAGCAGGTGCTCCTCAGTGAGCAGAGCTAATGTCTCCCCATCAATGACCTGTTCCCGGAAAACCTGGCGGAGACACAGCCGCTTCAGCCGCAGACACGCACGCAAGCACACAACCCACTCACACACTCGCGCTACACACGACCAGCATCGCAGATTTCTTCTTAATTTTTTTTTTTTTCCGTGCCTGCTGTTTATTATCACTGTCATTCCAAAAGATTAACTTGACTATTTTAACCTCAAAATCAAAATCTTCATGTTGTTTTGGGATCTCGTGTCTTAAACCAGACGAACTATTCAGCACCTCAAAAATGCGGCAAATTCAATAAAGGACAATTTTAAGGTCTTTAAAACCTACAAAATGTCTTGAAACACTGCTGTGCATAATAATTTGGAACAGTATATTTTCACAAAAAAACTTTTATTTTTGAAGAAAATACATACTCTCATCATTGGGAGGTCTGCTTGGAAAACATTCAAATGATTCTCTTTCAGTCGATGACTTCAAAATTATGCTGAGTGCCATTGCAGAGACTATTTATGAAAATCTGAGAAAAACATCCTTTGGAAAATAATTTGGAACATGATGTAGTGTGCGTTCCTTCACCACCGGGGGCAGTATAATACAATGATAGGCACAAACGAAGAAGAGTTTCACAATTAAGTGACTCGGTAAGCCACAATAATACTTTGCATTCCTAATTTTTCACGGAGGATAGAGAATATCTCTAAACATTGTTTTTCTCTACACGCAATTGTGTCTCGGGCATTTTGCGTCGTGTGTTAAGCTTTAAGCTCGCAGACATTCAAAGTGATGCGGTTGTTTTAAACACACAACATGTGATTCTCTTCCTTTTATTTTAGTTTGACAGGCAACTTCAACCACGATTGTCAATCATCAGCTTGAAACTTGTTTTCTGAAGAATATTTCACGATGTGCCAAACTGCTTCTTATTGTCAAGTTGGGTTACCACATAGCTTCAGCACAAAATGCCACAAGATGCTGGCAATGGCCCGTCAAAATAGGAAAGTACTACTAGTGGTGTCGGCGAAAAATGTTGGAGTGATTCATCTTGACCGTTTGCCTTGATGGAGGTCTGCATGCACATACGGCACTTGTCCTGAGTTCTCGGTCCATCAACTTTAGACTCAATTTAAGTAAACTAATTAATTTTAGAACTACATTGGTACCTCTACTTACGAAATTAATATGTTGTGGACGAAATTTCTGAACTAGAAAATTTTGTAAGTCGAGACACGTTTTCCATGTAAATGCCCTAATCTGTTCCAAGCCACCCCAAAATTCAGACATAAATGTTTACTAAAGCATATAAATGCATCAAAATATGAAACAAACGCATGTTACAATTAGATTATTGCACAATAAATGAGAGTTGTGCAGAATGTAAAAAACAAAGAATAGAGTTAAGAATAAAAATGGTAATTTAACTTAACTACATCCTCATCATTTTTTGCCCTCTTTAGTTTATGTTCTCTCTCAGAAGAGGTTTTTGCCTGGCCTTTTGTAAAGAACGGATCCAAGGATGTTTGCTTTTGTCGGATTTTAACAATTCTTTGAAAATGTCCATCAGCATAGTGAGCGATTGCCCGACTGCTGAACACTTTTTCTGGGTGATTCACATTTACGTAAAACTATCGAAACACCTCATGGCCCCAAGTGGCGAATGACGAGGACAGTGCATAGAGACAGACATATCGATTTTTCTATCTACACACAGACACACATACGGTAGAAGTCCCTCTTAGCCAATGGGATGCCAGGATGATGCTCTGTAGTAGCCAATGGCAGAGCAGCTATAAGTATGATGGGTTCAGGAAACTCGGAGCTGCGACTAGCAGACCATACTGTATTTTTACCTTTCGTATCTGGAAATTTCTCTCATAACAAGCAGCAATATTTTCCTGTTGAGGCGTTTCGTAACTTAAAACGTTCGAATGAAGAGACGTTCGTAAGTAGAGGTACCACTGTAATAACATTTCCTTGTTTGAAACGTTAAAAAGCGTGCTTGGGTTATTTCCTGTGACCATGAATTGGGGAGCAAAAACACACGACACCAAAAATGAAGAGGTCTACAAAAAAAATAAAAAAATCACATACAAAAGTGTACACATTGGGTTTGCGCACACACACACACGCACACATGCGCACGCAGGCACGCAAGCGCACACACATACACACACCCACCCCAAGCGCACTCTTCTCAATCAAGTTGACTCATTGTACAAAACGACCATAAGGAGACGCGATGGTGATGACTGTACACTTCTATGGTTATTGGTCAGCCTGCCCCTGGCCTCCATTTGTCCTCCTTTCTCTCTCTCGCTTTTTCTCCTCCCGTCTTGTTGTCCTCACGGTCTCACCTGAGCGTATTCAGCACATCCTGCCAGGCTGCTTATGAAGCCGCACACGTCCTCCACGCTCCACTTGCTTAAATCCTCCACGGGGTTCGCTGGAACCGAGTCCTCCCCGTCCATGAAAAGACCTCCCACAGAGCCTGAAAGCAGCAGCGGTGGGGGTGAGAAAAAGACAAATCAATTCGAACACAAAAAGGCTGAGGACCTTTTCTGTTTCTTCACATTTGTTGCAGATTCATCGAATGAAAGTCACAAGAACGACACATGAACAGTGCTGCCTTGACTTACGAAAAGTCTTCATCAAGCTGTTGGAGTGTCTCTTTGAGATTTATAATCATTTGGCATTGACAGAGATGTTTGGTGGGGATGTTCTTCCACACCAAACTTATTGTAACACTCCGGAATGCATCTTGACCATAGAATGTGAAAGCCCTTGTCGGGAATCGAAAAGCACCAACTTTCCTAAACTGTTCCCAGAATGTTCCAACATGTCTTGGTAAGAAGAAACTTCGTCAGTGTGTGTCAGGAATGGGCAACTTAAATGCTGGGGGGGGGGGGCACAATTTGAAATATGGACAAAACACGTGCAAAGGGTGTGCAAGATATGTGCTCTTCATACATTTTATTTTTTATATTTAATATATTTCTCACTGCATGGATAAAAGATCCACTATCCGAAGCAAACTACAAAATTGGCACATACTGTGATTTTGTCGGCACAAAGGGCTCTCTTGCATAAAAATTACCATTCAAGGACGGCACAAAACTGCTGAGCAGCAAACCGACTTGTTTTGTGCATTTTTTCACAAAAATCAACTCATTAAAAAATGTAATATTAGTGAAGTACTATGTTTGTTCCGCAAATCCTTCCAAATCTGCAAAGATTGTGAGGCCTACTACGTTGTAGTATCGAACAGTATAACTCCAGGTACAATGCAAATATGCGATCTACCTTGTGGTTAATGGTGATATCACAACTTAAAAATACAGTCAACCCTTACATTTTTGCCGTTTGGCTCCTGCGGATTCGCTTATTTGCAGATTTTTTTCAGTATTTTGTTTTTTTGGTGGGGGGGGGTAGATTTCATTTTCTGCGGAAAACAGAAATTGAATGTTTATCTGTGTTTTTTGAAGAATATTTTGGCTTTGGAATTGTTTTTTCAAACAATAACAACACTTATTTTTTTCAAATCAAGGGGCCACTTAGAGTGCGGTCGGTGCGAAATGCGGCCCGTGAGCCGCCAGTTGTTCATCCCTTTTGTATGTGAACAAACCCCCGCGTGGCCCTGGTGGTGGCGCGCTGTGTCAGGGTCAAAGGCAGGCCCCCCCAAACATGCAGCCAGATACGCACAAATTGTGACGCTAATGGGTTTTCACATGCTGCCTTTTTTTGCCTCTTATATATGTGTGTGTGTGTGTGTGTGTGTGTGTGTGTGTGTGTGTGTGTGTGTGTGTGTGTGTGTGTGTGAGTGCGTGTGTGAGCTCCTCACCCATGTGAAAGTAAGGATTGATGTATGGGAATCCAAAGGGCAACGACTGTCCTTGAAGAGCGGGCAGAGGTGGCACAAATCCAGGTGGAAGCTGGAGCTTGACATCCGACTTCCCCAGCGCCGAGGTGAATAAGTGGCGACTGGGCGAGTTGGTGCCAGCTGAACTACAAGACGCGTTGAGCCGGCCCGAGCATTCTTGACTCTCCTTGGCGCTGTTGCACGGCCCCTTGCCGTCTCTTTCTCGACTGTCCTTGTGTTTACTCCTCGATTTGGCAGCGGGGCCTTCCCGCCTCTCGTCGCATGTTTCTGTTTCGCTGCCCGAGTCCTTCGCGTCCTCGTCGTCTCCCTCGCTTCCTCTGTCCTCTCTTCTTCTTTTGCGATGGCCAGCGCGGAGCTCAGGCGGAGGGCCACGGTGGAGGGCCTTCTTGGAATCAGCGTCAGAACCGGTCGTGAAGCTCTGGGCTTGGGCCTCTTTGTGGGTGGACGACGTCTTGGGCTGCTCCTGCTGGTCGGCGCTTAGGAGGGGCGCCGTGGCCCCGTGTCGAAGCACCAGCATGGCATTGGAGCGGCGGACCAGTTCCTCTCGGAGCGGGTGACCCTCGGGGATGTCTTGAAGGCTCCGCAGGGCCGGGTGGTCCAAGGGCAGGCTGGCGGGGAGGGCGGCCAGCGGGTCGGAGCTCAGCAATTGCTGCTGCTGTCGCTGGTGGAGACTCTCCAACTCCTTCTGTCTCAATAGCTCGGCTGACATCTCAAGTCTGTTGCAGGCAAACACACACACACACACACACACACGAGGTCCCGTCAAGTCAGATGTCAGCATTTTACAAGGCGACATGTCCATCGACAGGGATAACTTCTCAGAAAAAAAGGCATGACTGTAAAATCCAACACACACACACACACACACGCACACACACGCGCACACACACACACACACACACACACACACACACACACACACACACACAACTTTTACCAATGTCACACATACACACCTTGCGAGATTCTGCTTCCTCAGCATTTCCTGCTGCCGCACAAAGATTTCAGCTTGAGCCGGTTGCAGGAAACCATAGCCTGGTGTTGAAAAGGGGAAAAAAATGTTTTCAACAGTTCAGGGTTCATATTTTTCAACATCAAGTAGCTATGGTGAATGATATACTTGCATCATATATACCAACTGCCAAAGGAAAAAAAAAAAATCAGCCTTTACAAACACAGCTTCACGAAGGTCAGCATGTGAGAAAAAAGCTGCCAATATGAGGTTATACCCAACAAACTGCAGCATAACCGTCCTAATGAAAATATCGTCCAAAGTAGTCATCATGTTCTCACTTCACATAAAAGTATTGCTTTGTATCGTGTTTTCTCATTTCAATATTGTTTTGGTGCTCATTCCTTGCAAATAACAATGAAACTATTCACGCGCTATTCATATTCATATAGCGTACGATACCCGCTTTTTTTCCTGGATTATTCTTATAATATGACAATGAGTGGACAAGACATCATGTAGTCAAAGTCGCCTGCGCCTTTTTATGCAAGGTGACTTTCATCCTCCGCTTCTCTCGACAGACAGTGCATGTCACCAAAGTTTACTGCTGAGGACGGAGAGTTTTATTATGGAGCGGTGAGCCTAATTTTACAAATGTATGCTTGTTAAGATTCTCTAAGTATTACTTCAATGTATATCTTGGCATTGCGCAAAAACAAAAACAACAAAAAAAAAAAAAAAATCCTTGAGTTTATCGGATTGACTTCATTCAGACATGTACATCGGTTCCATTAACTTTTACCACTTGGATATTTTTGAGAAGAAGAAAGTGAAGTATTTTATTGATTTATTTATATTTTCGGAGAGTGTGGCAATCGATATAAGCTGCTGATTTTTGTGCAGAGAGCGCAGGTTTGATTTCCAGGCCAGTTTTCCAAATAGACAGCCACTACAGGTCGGAAGCTGGATGAAAAAAAAAAAAAAAATCATCCAAGTGACTCACTCACAGCAACAAGCAACTTCAACGTTTATTTGAATACAGTGAGGGCTTGAATCTGAGCGAACCGATTGGAAATTGGACCAAATCGGAGGTCGACCAGCGTTGTTGTGTGTGTGCGTGACCTTCGATGTTCCTCTGTGTATCAAACGACCACACGCTGGGAACCAACGCAAGTATTAGCATGCTGACAAAGGTGTTAAACTGTCAAATGCTGACTCACCAGGGGCCTGGCAGAGAGCTGAGGGCAAGCCGAGGAAAGGAGCCCGCAAGTGAGGTCCTAGCGCGATGTGAGGGGCCGTTGAAGGTGAAAGGAGGGGCGGAGGCTGGGACAGTTCTCTGCGGAGGCGAATATGAAAAGAAAAGAAAAAAATAATAAACATTCGAATTTAAAGCCCCCTGCGTTCATTCCGACAACCGTGTTATTGTTTTCCTCCCGTCGCCACGCGCCTCAACCATTCTGTGTGCGTGCTGCCACATCGATGTGTACGGTGTATTTTTATCAGCCGTGTTCCAGAGGGCCCCGACGTCGCCCCAGTGCCTCATCAGTCTTGTCAGGCTGCACCAAGCACCGCTGGCCATTGCTGTACCCTCCACTGCCGCCTCACACACACACACTGACACACACGCACACACACAGACGCACACATTGGAGCCACACACATAATGAGAGCTGAATGCACAATGCCAGTGTGTCATACTCTGACAGCTGGGGCGGCCCCTGCATCTTGACCGGGGCCACGGGCTGAAGGACCTTCTAATTAACACTCATCCCGCCTCTATTCACCCCGTCACCCCCCTTCCCTCCCCCTTTTTTGATGCCCCCATTCCCTCCCTCCCACTTTCCAAGCCAGCATTGATGCCGCTAAAAAGATCGTCCTGCAACCTCAACTTTTGAAAAGGCCTCTCCATTATCTCCCTCGTCCTTTGTCCTCGTCAAGGGGGGAAAGGCGCCTCTCACCTTTCTCCCACTCAGTGTCTCCCCTCTCTCTCTCGCTCTCTCCGTTTTTTTTAAAGCAAACCATCTCTTTTTGTTCTCAATGTCCTCTATGAAAAATGGGTGTTGTTTGTGCCCTTCTTTTTGCCCTCTCTTCCCTGCCCTCCTCATCACTCACCATTTCGTCAAGGTACGCTCCCCCTCATTCATTTTCCCGGGTTATTTGTAAATCCTCACATTTGGAAGGTGTTTTTTTTTTCTTTTTTAAAGATGACAGAATAATGAGGCACCTTGACCTTGTGGCTGTGTCAAAATGTGCCTTGGCGCTCGACGGCTGCTAGTTGGCAAAAAATTACGCCTGTCTCCATTGGAGACTTTCCATAGTACTGCCGCAAACAACTATTTAGTCGATTAGTCAACGATTGTCGATCATATGTAAATCACAACATATTGCATCACCAAGCAGCTGCTCCAATATCACCATCGTTAGCTTAAAGCTTAAATTCTTCGACGTATGTGCAAATTAAAAATAAAGACAATTCAGATGAAAGTACTTGAAACTCTTTATTAAAATTTGCAGCTCGTACCAGCACTCCTGACATGCCTATAAATTATGGTGCAATTTAACATCAAGATGGCGAGGTAGATGGCAGCCATTTGTGAGAGTTATTTTTGTTGCTTTTGTCTTTTGCTTTGTCAAATTGTGTTTGTTGTCTTTCGTGTGGCCCCGTTGTGGACCGTTTTCAGTGTTTTGGCCACGACATTCGTCGAAGAACAAGAATGTGTGCTTGATGATTACGCCTTGTCGGCAGCACACGTCGACCAGCATTGATTCTGATTGGGAGGAATGTCGCAGCTATTTGACTGTTGCCCCTTGACAACATTTTTCACAGCCCCATTTTGTTTAGCGGAGATGAGGACGTTGTTGCACAGTCTGCACTGGTACGGTTGAATGGATGGCTTGTGGAGCCGGGGATGAGGAGAGAGGAGCTGGGATGCGTATTTGGACCTGAGAGTCGGCGCTTGGAATTGAAGCGGATTTGCATGGGACAGGAGAAGCAAACCAATCTCTTTTTCATTGAAGGATGATGTATTGTATTAAATTGACCTTAACATTTTGTACTTGTATATTTCCCTCTACTCAAGCAATAAGCATTTTTTGAATTTAGAAGAGTGTGAAATCAGATGAGTAAAACCAGGAAAACTAAAATAAACACTACTGTACTATTCTTTACTTATAACACAAAATGTGTTTTTGTTCATTAGTATGTATCATTTAAAAGTATTACATTGATGTCCAAAATCAAAATAAGGTCTGCACAACAAAATAAATAAATAATCCTGAAAGATTACGGATGGCCCAGATTACCATGACTCTACTCATGCATCACAGACAAGCATAAAGCCAACAATGGGATACGAGGCAGTTTTGACAGGAAAAACAAAACTGCAAAATTAATTATGACGACGTCAACTATTAAATTAGCCATCGTCCTGACTGGTCGACTAAACTTGGTAGCCCTACTTTGAATCTCTGTAAATAGCGAGCTCACTGTTGCCTTTCTGCTCGCACGCCAGTCCGCCGCGTGTGAGCCTGTCGCCACACACAGGCACACATGGGAAGGGAGCTGAGGAAAACAAAGTGGAAACCAACGACGGGACGCGTGCAACCGCAAATATTGTTTTGTAACCATGTTCAAATTAGCTAGCGCCTGCTTGTCTCTCGCTTGGCTTAGCGGCGAGGGAGCGGAACAGCTTGGAGGGAACACTCGCATGCAGGGACAAGGGGATGTGATGGTTGTGATTTATTGGTGTGTGTGTGTGTGTGTGTGTGTGTGTGTGTGTGTGTGTGTGTGTGTAGGGGAGGGGGTGAAAAGCATTCATCGATCGCCTTTGCCGCTGAAATGTTAATGCTAATCGTATAACCGCTCTCTCCGGCGGCGCCTTGCACTCCTGTGGCAGCGCCAATTAATCTTGGGTGAGGGCTGTGGCGCGTGACCCCGGGCCGCGGGCTGGGGGCCCCACTCGCCGCTTCTTATGTAATTACACCGCCCAGTGTGTAATCACCTGGTTTAATCCCTCAGGGCAAGCAATTAGCCTCGCGACGCGCAGCTCCACGAGGCCACGCCGCGCGGCTCACGCAAAAACCGCCAACAACCCCCACCCGCGGTCGGCTCCCCGCACGCCAAACTGCCTCAACCGCCGCCTCTCAGATGTTCCCTTTTCTTCCTTCCGTCGCTTTGCGCCGCCCACCGTTGCCTAGCGTTAGGCCACAGATGAATAACGGTCAATTAAAGCTGCATGACTGGGGCTGCCAGGCGTCTGCGCCACCATAATTAGGCCTAATCACGGAGAGCGAGGGAGAGAAGGCGGGAAAGGAGTGCGCCTGACACTCCCCTCCGCTCACTTCCTCCGTCTCTCATTCTTTCTCTCACGCTTTTTTTAGAACGCAATTTGGACGGACGAGTGGCGTGCCTTGGTCTGTTTTCTCTTTAGCCTTTCGACGCATTCCTATTGCACAAATGCAATGTGGACTGTTAGTAACGCAAAGCTCCATGCTTGGCCTGTGTGTGTGTGTGTGTGTGTGTGTGTGTGTGTGTGTCTCGCTGTGCCGCCAGTGAGGCCAAGGGCTTCTGGGAAATTCACTCGTGTGTGACGACCTGTCAGAGTGGCGACAGCGTTCCTGTCCTGAAGCAGCCCAGGCGAGGTGTGTGCGTACGTGTGTCTTGTGAGAATGCGCACGCGGGTGCGCGCGTGTGCGTGTGTGTGTGTGTGTGTGTTTTTTTGAGTGAGTTGGTGTGTATGTGTGTGTGTGTGTGTGTGTGTGTGTGTGTGTGTGTGTGTGTGTGTGTGTGTGTGTGTGTGTGTGTGACAGGACTGCCCTTAATGACGGGAGCGTGGGGGGATTAGGAGCGCCGCGCAGCCGCCTTCGGCTCCTTCTCCGCAGGAACACATTTACACAGGAAGCTCATTAAAATGGATGAAGCTCCCTCCTCGCTCGCCTGCCCTCCCTCCATTCCCTTATCTCACATTCTCTCCATCGCCTCACTCCCTATCTTGCTTCATCTCTCTCTCTCTCTCTCTCTCTCTCTCTCTCTCTCTCTCTCTCTCTCCGTCACATCGTCCTCTCGCCTTCTCCGCTTTTCGTTTTTTTGCTCTTGCTTCCCTCTTTTCATCCCCATTTTAAGCCCCCATGTTTTCTACTTCCTTCCTCTCTTTATTTTTCTCCATCCCTGCCTATTTGCCTGGCAGATGCTCGGCGAGCTTAGCGCCATTTAAGGCCAGACAAATGGAGCGCCAGGCTCTAAGCCCATTGAGCGGCCCTAATGATTTGTTTTTAACAATGGGCCCTAATGGGCCCAAGATAATCAATGATGAGGGGTCGAAGGAAAGGTGAGCCATACAGAGAGTTAGGGAGGGAATTTGCCGCCTCGACTCGCTTCCTTAGCCACGGCTTTTCATTTCACCAATTATCTCTATTTGAATTCTCTCTTCACTTTGCACTCATTCCACTTTGGAGTCGCTCTAGAATTTGGTTCCTGTTCTTTGTGCTGGTTTAACACAGTCCGGCCCTTTACAACTCGCATGCGCCATGGTGAAAAGTATGGGAACGTAACACCCATGTTCCACTAGACTCAAATTAATTCTGCTGCTGGACTATAGAAGAGTAAGGTTTGGTTCACCGTCATGACTTGAAGTCATTGCTCTATTCAGAGAAGGCTTGATGTAATCACTTTTTAGTTGTCATTTTATGTAGAACTGGTCAGTGATGTAAATGTCCTTCTAAGCTATATCTCTCCAATAAAAGGCGATTCGATACGCATCTCAATATACTTTACAATGAAACGATTCAATTTGGTTCGATTCAATGCACTCCCGTCTTTTTTTTACACCC